AAACAACTACCTAGGAATCATGGAGTAATTGGAAGGAAATACGTTCCGCCAATCGGAACATTCAACATGACACAGCAGACAATTCAAAGCCCTTTTTTCGCAAGTTTTAATGCTACTTAAATTTCTTAGCCTTCCCCATAAGTCCCCCTTTAAAATTAAGTAAGACAAAATAGTGTTTCAAACTCATATGGTCTATGGATTTGTTTTCTCATTATCATTTCAATCAAATGTAATATCAAATTACATTTTTAACTTCTTACTGATGCATAATTCATGACTTTTTCGCAATTTCAAGGAAACTCGGGAAACATATATGTAGAAAATGACATTTTCTCTGCGTGTAGCCACCCTCCTCAAACAACAATGTCATCTGGAGTGGAGGCCAGAGGCCATACGAACGTCCGGCGTTTCAGTCCAGGTAATTGTTTCATCACACTGAATGACACATTAACGAATTCCACAACACTGGCTTATATTTTATGGCACACATATTGCAGTGTAGTTTCAATGCACTATATACTACACAACAGCTTCCTGGCGTCGTGTTTTTAGTCACAGGTTTTCAAAGTGGATCCAGAAACGAATTTCAAGAAAGCCATTTATATAAGACGGGGGCCTGCAACTTGACTTTTAAAACCTTTTTATATATTGTGGTCTTCCTGAGCGGTGAGACTCCATATTACGGGTCATTTCCTGGCTTTGATGAGAAAAAGAGATGGATGTTAACAATACATTTCTTCTCCCACGCATTAAGAAACAGAAGACAAGATTCCTTCATTAAGCCAGAGACATGACCCCACTGGAGCTTGGATTTGAAGGCTTGAGTCGTGTCGACCTTTGGGTCGTCCAGTTAATATGCGAAACACTGGATCGTTAGCATTACACCCTACACTTTAACTCATTCAAACAGAGAATTGAATTTCGAGTGGCATAATGCGTGCTAATTTGCAGACTTCTCTTTTCGCACTGCCCATTATGAACCAAGCTCATATAGGAAATAGCGTGACGGACATTTCTGTCAGACCCCGCGAGCGACGCGATGTCCCCGGAGCAAGCAGCCAGCAATCATCCACTGTGACTTTGACGACACTTTGTGACCAATCACAGGTAGGATGGATCTCGTTGACATTTTAGCGTGGAAGATCCTCCTTTTTTTAAATCGAAAATCAGGGCAACATTGCCAAAACGAATCTGTAACTTTCGCTAAGAAATCAAAATAAAAAAAATTGATACGAAATAAGATTATTCCTTTTAAAAAACATTAAAACAAACGATTTCTGGCACTGCATTCCATAATTTTGTTTTAATCCAAACTTGTGCCACAACGAAATAATGTATACTGAGGTCAAAGGTTACAGAACAGATTTGTTTCCTTCAGCATTGCTGATCTGTTGTGTCCTACGTGGAGGTTTCACTTTCTAGAGAAAAAATGAAAGTTCAAAGGCAAAACCCATGCCACAGTGTTCCCTGAGTGCTATTTAAACCAAAGTAGCAAAGAATTAAAAGAGAAAAATGCCAGAAATTGCCAACCTGATTCTTGAGGATTTTAAAGTAAGTCCGTGTCGAGGCTGTCGATGTCATGTTACATTAAACCTGTTTGGTTGAACAATATAGCTATTCGTGCCTGATTCACGGCACAACTCTTCTCTTTCACTATGTTGCCTTTCAGAAAGTCCTTATCTACGCCGACCTCCATCACACCAAGACGCAATCGACACCAGCCCCATCAATCCCCGCTCGGCCTCCCACTCAATACGCAGACATCAACCAGTACCTACTGTCTTCAGCTCCTCGTGAAGCCCCGCCCTTTTTCATTGATGACTCCTCAAGTGTGGGTGAGGAAACACAAAGTGTTGAGGATCCAGAGGCCAATGAGGAGAATGCTCCACCAATTCCGCTCCGTGGTAACCCCATTCCCCCTCCGGAACGAGATTGGCAGTATTACTGAAATTTCCTCATCT